GGACATCATCACCATAAACCTTCCATCCTTGTCTCATTGTTGTCAGAGGGTTATGGTTGTTGATTGATTCATCTCCCGTTCCGTCAATTGCGGCCCCAATAGGGACTACACAAACTTGGACAACAACAACCTTCTCGTCGTCGTTATCCGTCCATCTCACATGCCATGGTGGGTCTTCTTTCTTTGGTGTCGTTTGCTTCTGTGTTGTGATCGTGGATGCTAGAGACCCTGGTGACTTCGTCATGGCTGAAAGAACAGGGGTAAACTCCTGAATTGGGACTGGAGCAGTTAGTGGTGGTAGCAGTACTTGTGCAAGCGATGATGCCTCATCCTCCTGCAACGGCGACTGCAGCGGATCAGTAGAGCCATCGACCTTGGTGCTCTCCGTCGATGCTTCTCCGTCGTCCTCAGCTCCTTTCGATGATGCCGCGTAGGTCGGCCCAGTTGGTCGTCGCCGTTCTTCGTCATCCGCGAGCGCAGCCGTCTCAGCCGCCGCCGCGCCTTCAGCCATCGCCACCTTCTCCCACTCTTCTTGTTCGTAGCGGTCAAGAGACTGCTGCAACAGTTGGTGGAGGCGAATCCATTTTGGATCGAAGAACTTTGATAAGCTCATTCAGGCTCTGATACCAGATGATAGAAACCTATTTCTACCATTCTATCGGTTGGGTTGGGAAATTGGGAATTTAGGGATTTAGAGATAGAATTAGGGATTTAGAAGAGAATTTAGGGAGAAGAAGAACAGAATGGTCGGCGGCCATATTAGGGGGGAAGAGAGTTTGAGAGGATTAGGAGAGATTAGGTTTGAAAGGATACTTTGATAATACTTTCTTGATTGATTCTGACCAAATCCCAAAATACATATTTATAACGAAAGACTGGAAAAACCTAATAGACTAACCTAATACGACTCAATGACTACTAACTATATCTAATAATATCTTAATTACAGTAATTATGATAATTATGATAAAACCCAGAAATTGGGTTTCTATCACTTTGAGCTAGTGAACCTATGAGACGGAGAAATCATCAACTATGCAAACGATTCGAGCTAATGAACTTATTGACACTTCCATCCTCAAGTTTTTCATTTCGATTCGAGTTATTGATCTCTTCCGTCTATTTGGTACCTGGATATATATTAACAAAGAAAAAATAAGGAATGAAAGAGAAATGACGCTAGTTGATGTCATTTCTGATTTTCCTGACAACGATAGAAATAGAATGGAGAACGGACGAGGATTTTTGTATTAGAGAGGCATAGTAGTGTTAGGTCGGAAGGGTTGAGCGTTGTTCGATTGGTATTAGATGGTTGGTTTATGAATTTTTGTTATTTTTTTGTTGACATGACATGCTGACAGTATTCAATTAACTAAACTTTAGATGGATAAGTTCAGGTCCTTAAGCCTAGAAATATAAGAAGAATCTTAAGTGATTTTTATTGGCTGAAAGTTTAATAGGTAGTTAATATTTGGTTAGTGGTTACCGAGTACTTATGGGTAATTAGGGCATTAAAGTATTTTTAAAATTAATTAATGGAGAGTGGCCGGATTTTAAGGAATTCATTATGTTATGATTTTTCAAATTTTTTAATACTTTTATTCTGAATTAATGTTTACTAACTATAATATTCAGCAGTATTGGAGCGATGCAATTTTTTAATGATGCCTCATTTTTTAAAAGCTTTGTGTCATTTTTTAATATTGTAGTAAGACATTATTATATTAAGAGTGTAGTATTATTATGATCATTATCAACCATTATATTAAGAGTGTAGTATGATTAACCACCACCATTTTATGGTTGTTAAAGGTTTAAAGTGGTGTTATTGCATTGTTGTAGCGATTATTAACCTTTCATAGTTGATTGTTAACGTGTTTACGTTGATAAGGAATTGGCTAGGAGCCAAGCATTGATAACGTTCTTTTTTTTTTTTTTTTTTGCTTTCCTGTTGAAAGGTTTACAACAACGTTGTTAACATTTTTTAATTTTTATATAGGTATTGTTAATGACAAGCTATATGATTGATGATGGATGGTATATAAGTGTATCAATATTTGAGAAAGAATTATTAATAATATGTAGTACGATTAATCACCATTAGATATAATCATTATCAATAATTTTGTTTGCATTTTGATGAAACACAACTTAGCTTTTAATAGTTTTTATATTGTTATCAATGTTTTGAGAAGAGAATTATTACTAATATGTTGTGGGTTACAAAATATAAGAAATTTGACTGAGGTGTGAGAAAGTAGAGAGAGAAAGTAGAGTGAGAACGAAAAGCGGGTGACTAGGGTTTCGACGATTCACCGTCGTCGCGCCGGCATCTGCGCCGGTGCCTCTTCCTTTCCTCTTCTCTTCCCTTTTCTTGAATGATTTGCCACCTATGGCAGGGCCGAATTTAGATGTTTGCGAACGTCAGCCAACTAAGCCATGGGCGAGTCTATTTGGAATATCAGAAGCAAATCGGTTGTGTTATATCAAGCTAGAAGTGGTGAATGGTGGTTTACGGATGCCAAAGGTGGTTCGAGAGGAGGGTGCAACAAGCTGGAAACACTGTTTGGTTGGGCAATTTTTACAGGATATTCCCCCTCTAATGGTTCTCCGAAGGTGGGCGAACAAAATCTAGGGCAGAGATGGTCAGGTGCGAGTATCGCTTCTGTGTGACAATCTTTTGTTGATTCAATTACCCTCGCATGAGACTTGTGACTGGATTCTGGAGAATGACCCCTGGTTTCATTTTGATAACTTGCTCTACCTTCAACCCTAGGTCCCGGGAATTAGTGCAGAGGATCTGGGCAGAAAGGCGTTGCCAATCTAGTTGCGTTTGTCGAATGTTCCTCTTGAGTGTATTAATTTTCAGGGTCTGAGTAGAATTGGTAGCTGGGTAGGTATTCCTTTGGGTGTTGATCACACTACACGGCTTGGAAGAAGGATGGGCTTCGAGAAAGTGTTGGTTGAACTGCAAGCAGAAGGTCCTTTCCCGGACACTGTTACAGTTTAGCCAGATGATGATCTCCCAATTCAAGTGCGGGTGGAGTATTGCCATTTACCACCAGTCTGCCCTATTTTCAAGTTATTTGGTAAAGATTGTTGTGGGCTTGTCCCGGGTCAGTAGGTCTGAGTTGCCAAATCTGGGGAACAGAAGGCACAGGTCTCGAAGGCTAAAGGTAAAGAGAAGATGGTAGAAGCTGAGGCAGACATTTCACTTCCCTCCCATGCTATCCAGAACAAAACCCAGCTCCAAGAAGAGGTTCCTTCTGTGAAGACATCCTCACAGGCAAAATCTTCAAAACCTTGATGTTTGCTTTTCAGAGGTTTCCTCTCCAAGTACTTCAACTGGGATTCCATCTCCAAAACTCTCGTCTGGTACTGAATTTCAGAGGGTTGTAAATGGTGCAATGCCTAGGATATGGTCACCAGCTCTGAGTCCAACAAGTGTTCTTCAAGTCTCTCCGTCTTCATTTAGTGTTCTTGCTGATCAAGACGGAGAGGGAGTGATTAAATTGCAAGCTGCTCCTAAGAAGGATTAAAAGAAGGCGGGGTCTGAACCCCTTGCCTCATCATGAATTGTTTGTTTTGGAATGTTTGAGAATTTAATAAATCCTGGAAGAGACGGGACTTTGCAAAAGTTCTGGTACAGCTAAAGGTTAGTGTGGTTGTAGTTTTGGAGACAAGGGTGCGTCAAGCAAAGTCAGAGGAGATTTCAGACAATTTTCTTATAGGTTGGGAGAGGCATTTGAACTATAAAGATTCTGATCTTGGTTGTATCTGGTTGTTTTGGCCACCTGAATTCAAAATAAGCATCTTGAAACCAAGTAAGAACTTCTTACATACTCTGATACAGGATCCAGTTGGGGATAATTGGAGCGCAGAGCTACTTATATTGAAATCAATAAACTTAAAGTAGATGGTTATCCATGGATAGTAGGGGGAGATTTTAATGCAGTAATGAATCCAAGTGAGACTTCTAATCAGCTTCTGAAGACATCTAGTATGTCTGACTTTGAGGGGTGGTGCAATTCTATGGAGTTAGAGAATTTTAATACTCTAGGTTCGTATTATACCTGGTCGAATAATCAACAGATGAATCCAATTGCAAAGAGACTTGACAGAGCACTGGTCAATGTTCCTTGGCTCTCTTCTTTTCCAAACTGTACTACGGAGGCCATACCTGGGATCTTTTCTGATCATTGTGGTATTCTAGTACAGTCGAGTCGGCAGTTAAAACTCTACCAAAGCCTTTCAAATATTTTGACTTCTGGAGCGATCATCCAAATTTTATGCAAATAGTGGAGGAGGCCTGGTCTTTTCAATGCGTTGGCAGCCCATGGTATGTAGCACATACAGAGCTTAAAGAGGTTAAAAAAGCTCTCCAAAAGCTGAACAAGGAACACAATGCAAATATTAGTTCTCTGGTAAAGGAGTTGGAGTTGAAATTACTACAAACAATGACAAACTGTCTCACTTCTCCTACAACAGATAATATCCAAGAGAAGAAGTTACTAACCTCCCAGTTAAAAGAGGCAAAACAAGCAGAAGAAAGGTTATATTGGCAGAAGTCTAGAGAAGACGGGATTAATCGGGGTGACAGGAGTACTCGGTACTTTCACCAATCAGTGAAGATTAGAACAGCAAAAAGAGCTATCAGAAGAATCAAAACAGAAACGGGAGAGGTAATCACTGATGTGGAAAAGGTTGCAAATGAAGCTGTAAAATTCTATCAGCAGTTATTTGGCGTGGCTAATGCTGAAGTGAAGCCCAATTCTGAGTTCTTAAAAGAGATAATACAGAAGCAAATGTCCTCTTGACACAAGGAATTTCTTTGCAAGGAAGTCACTGCAGACGAGGTTAGAGAAATAGTCTTTCAGATGAATATACATGAGGCGCCAGGCCCATATGGGTTCTCTGCTGGGTTTTTTCGCAAGACTTGGCATATTGTTGGAGAGGATATCACTAAAGGGGTACTGAACTTCTTTGAGACAAAGAAACTAATTAGTGGAGTCAACGCCACTGCAGTAGCGCTACTACCAAAGGTACTCAATTCTGAAACCTTCAAAGAATTCCGTCCTATCTCTTGCATAAATGTGCTTTACAAGATAGTTGCGAAAATAATGACAAAGATATTGAGTGTAGTATTACCAACAAATGTTATTAGTCTTAATCAAACAGCGTTCATTCAACGTAGACAGATTGTTGACAATATAATGCTGGCACAGGAACTAGTTAGTGGATATCATAGAAAACAGTTATCTTCTAGATGTGCAATAAAAACAGTTGATTCGGTACACTGGGATTATCTGTTCATGATAATGAAACTAATGAAGTTCCCTGATCGTTACTTGGAGTGGGTCAGAATTTGTGTTTCTACTGCAAGATTTAGCATCTATGTAAATGGGGGCATGAAAGGGTTCTTTAGTGCAGAGAAAGGAGTGAGACAGGGTGATCCTCTCTCCCCTTACTTATTTTCCATTGCAATGGAGGGACTTACGGGTATGTTGAATAGAGCTTATGGAAAAGGTCTGATTCTCTACCACCCCTTATGCAGCAAAGTTATGTTAAATCATCTTTGCTTTGCGGATGACCTGTTGATCTTTACAGTAGGGTCAGCTAGAGCTATTCTAGCAGTGAAGCAAGTTCTAGATCAATTCTATTGGCAATCTGGATTGAAATGTAACCCAGGAAAGTGCTCTGTGGTTTTTGGTGGTGAGTCAGTCTTGTATAAGCATAATGTCATAGAACTCTCAGGGTTTGCAGAAGGAACGCTCCCAATGAGATACCTGGGATTGCCTCTATATCTGGGAAGTTGGCAGATAAAGATTGTGAAGCTCTAACAGCAGCAATAACAAAAAGGATTCGGTCCTGGCGCGCGAAAAAGCTATCTTATGCTGGGAGACTGCAGCTAGTCACCTCTGTTATCTCAAGGCTTATTCAGTATTGGATGCAAGTTTTTATTTTGCCAAAGAAGATCCTTAAGCTTGTTCAAAAACTATGTATGGACTTTTTCTGGCATGGTAATGATACTGGTAGAGCCAAAATTGTTTGGCCCGTCTGGCTTGTCCTAAGAAAGAAGGAGGGTTTGGAATCCGAGAACTTAGCTCCTGAAACTCTGCCTGTGCTCTACGACTATTATGGCTGCTCATGATGCAGTCAGGAGCTCTGTGGGTTGCCTGGATGCTTCAATATCTGATGACTCGATATTTGCACATGTTTTCCCCTTTGTTTCTTGATATTTTAAGCTTGCATTATTGCTTCTTTGGCCTATTTTACGCTAGGTTGTGTTCCTTTGTCATATTTCAGGTCCTAGCACATAAAGTGAAGCGTAGGCGCAAGTTTCAAGTCAATCAGAGATCAACTGGCGACTCGTGGGAAGAAACTCGGGTATGACTTGAAGAAGAATGGATTTCTACCTCAGTTTGTGACAATATAATCATGTAATCTTGTCAAGAGAAGAAAGAGGACGAGACTACGAGCGTCTGGGATCAAACGGCACCTGATTTGGAGTCCGAACGAGGGAGAAACGAAGAATCAAAGATAGGGGAAAATTGGTTTCGGGCTTCTCTGAGAAACAGAAGGGCGCCCTATCGTGACGCTAAAATCCCCGGTAGGGGATTTTTGGCCATGATAGGGGATTTTCCCAAAAATCCCCTATCATGAACCAAAATACCCGACAGGGGATTTTGACAGGAGATCGCGAACGCAGGCTGTTAAAAGCCTGTTTTGTGCGTTTTTGCAAGGGAGAGCTGGGTTTTGGATCCCAAACACCCAAGGGACGAACCAAAGAAAGAGAGGGCGATTTGAGGGCATTCTTGGAGTGGAATTGGAGGATTTCTTCACCTTGGAAGCTCGAGGAACAAGCCCGGACTTGAAGACTGATCATCTGAAGATTCTTACTGCAGTCTCTCTCTTCTCTATGGAGTAACTTCCCTTCACTTAGGTTTTGAGGAACCCTAGCTATGTTTGTTTGATGGGATGATTGTATGAGTACTCTGACTTGATAATATTGAGTTCATATTCAATCTATGCATGATTTCACGATTCAATTCTGCTTTAGTCGAGATTATTGATTCTGCTTTGATCCTATGAGAGCGAATACCTGATTAGGTCAATAGAGCACCATAGATTGATAGTAGTGGATTGATTGCTTTAGTCGAGGGTTGATTCACTGCTTTGTATCGAGTGAGAACCTCTTTCGATAGAGGGAGTCTAGTTCAAAACGCCTTGATCGGTTGTTCTAGAGAAGGATACGTCCCTCTAGGCAATCGACTCAAGAGGGCCTTGTTCCTTTAGTCGAGACTCAAGGTCTAGTCAAGGATTCTCCGCATTGTGAATGAAAGTGAAACAGGTTAGAGATCATCAATCATTAATCTGGCTAGTGGCTAGGGGGAATCATACCTAAGTGAGTTCCCAACCTGTGATTAGATTAACTTTAACTGTAGTTTGCTAGAGTAGTTTTAGTTCTTTCATCTTGATCTGGTTTGCTAGATAATGAACCGAAGCTGAGTAATAGTAACTCTAGAGACCCGTGGATTCGATATTTATTACTTGAGCCACTATACTGCAGTCCCTTTCATTGGTTACACTTGACCATTGATAGGAGTTGTGTCATAGCGAGTCAATATCGCTGTAAAACAGGGGATGTCTGGACTATAAAGGAGAATACCAACAGCTCGTGGGCTTGGCGTCGTATACTTGAAGAAGAGAACCCATGTACAATCTTTTTTAAGCAGGCAGGGAGATTGTGTTCCGTGGAATGGACAACTAATGAATAAGTATTCGATCAAGCTCGTCTGGGATACTTTACGTCCTCAATACAACATGGTTCATTGGTACAAGTTGGTTTGGGGGCAGAACAGTGTTCCCAGGTTCACTTTTATAGCCTGGCTCATAGTTTTGGATGCCATAACTACGAAAAGTAAGCTAAAGAGATGGGGAAGATTACTGATGACTACTGTCCCCTCTATCATAGTGATAGTGAACACATGAACTCGTTTGTTTTTCAATTGTGAGTTTGTCAAGCAAATAGTGGATGGAATACTTCCAGTTGAGATGGTGAGCAAACCCACCTGGGAGGAATCTTTTGACTCGGTTTGCCAAGCTGTCAATCGTGCGTAGAGGAGGTTTATAGGAGTCAAGTGGTGTATGCTTTTGACATATATTTGGCAGGAACGTTGCCGTAGAATCCAAAATGAACCAGAACGTGAAGCTCAAGTGCTGCAAGAGCTCATTCGACAAGATATGTGCATGATGCGAATTGAGTAGTGCAGAGGTAACATCAAAGTGGGGAAGAGTAGGAAGAAGTAATTTCTTTGTTTCGGCTGTAATTGCTTCGGGGAGGCCACAATGGAAGCCCCTTCGTTGTATTGGTTCACAAATTGCAAATTGCAATTTGGTTTACTTTATAGTAAAACAAAAACTGATTCAACGAAGAAGAAAAAAGAATTATTAATAATATGTACTATGGTATTACTCATTTAGATACACTCATTATCAATGATTTTGCTTGTATTTTCAACACCAACACAACTTAATTATTAATGATTAAGAGTGTCATTATCAATATTTCGATGTAAATATTTATAATATTTAAACATTTTTTTGTGAAGTAACATCAAAACATTGGTAAATATATTGAAATTATTAACAATAATGCGTATACAAATAATAATTAATAATATATTTCATAAATGTTAATAATATCATTGCAAATATTAATAATGATACGACAAGTTGCTATAGAAAGGGAAAGTGTATATTTTTTATTTTAAAATTCCTTTTTTAAAACATTTAATATCAATTACGAATTTATATTTTTAATTTCCATATTAAATAGTTGTCGAATTTAGGGGAGAGATGGTTTTCATTTTAATTAATAATGATACTAATTAGTAATTATATTTCATTTCTGTCATTGTAGGTAGTTAACTAATGATTAATAATAATTATCTCTCTCCTCTTATTGGCTACAATGGTTTTAAGATCCTCCTTAAAAAATATGGTTTACGGACCGGATCTAACCTGACTATTGATGAAAATGGGCCAACCGTATTACATTAAAACATACAAAATTAAACTTCAGCTCTCGTTTTGTATTAAATGACAAGTTGTGTGACCGTTTATGATAATTACTCACAAGATGTAGGGATGGGCACGTGGGTGGTTAATCTGTGGATTGATATCGATCCACCCGCAAATAATCCGACCCGCACTCAGTGGGTGGATTACGGATTGATAAATCTCTCACCCGCACTTGTGTGGGTGGGTGGTGGGTGTAGGGGTGAACAAACACACCCGCAAACCGATCCACCCGTCCAACCCGACCCAACCCACCCGTATTTACCGCTAAAACGAAGATTTTGGGTTGGGTGAGGGTTTTGTTTTGTACAACCCGCCTCTTTTGGGTTGGGTTTGGATTTTGGATTACACAACCCGTAGAACCCGACCCAAACCGTGTTCCAACTATTAGTATGAGTTCGAATCTAAAAAAGATTTATGTAGTACATAGTCATATACTTATGAGAAAATTAAAATATTTCGCAATGTTTTTCTCTCATGGTCTCCCTAATCTAATGCATTCTTTGACTTAAAGTTTAGACATAAATTGAATATAGTTATGATTCACGTAATCCTTTTCTTGTGTACAATTTTAATAGAATAACATATGATGGATGCGTTTGTTTATAACATTTTTAGCTTATTTCAACAAATATCGTGAAAAAACAAGACATATGTTGAAGTAAATTACATTTTATTAAAATTTAAACAACATTTGTGAATTTTCATACGTTTCACCTTGGTTCATTCGTTTGAAATATTAATTAGTTATAAAATATTTTTATAATGTAGAATAATTATAATTTTATGTTGGGTTGGGTTTTTACTTAAAAATATCGCCAACCCGACCCAACCCAATTAGAAACAAACCGTAGGGTTTAAATTTTTTTGGGTGGGTTTGGGTTTGATATTTCCCAAACCGTAGTGCATGGGTCGGGTGATTAAAATGACTAAACCCGAACCACCCGACCCATGTACACCCCTAGGTGGGTGGATTGCGGGTCACCCGTATGACCCGCATCCTATTTTTACTTGAAAAAAATATCATTTCTTACAGTATGGAATATTCATCATATTTTCGAACTGCACAACAGTCTGACCATATACTTTAAAAGGTAAAGAATAAAGAATAGTTTTGACTACTATTATTGGTTATTGTGTTGTGCAATGTTCATTAGATATTGGATATTGGTATGCAAATTATTGTTAATATCCATTAAATATTGGGATGCAAAGTATAAATTATTAATTATATCAAAATCACAAATGATTGATACAATCTTACTAATTTGCTATGAACTTATTATAAAGATTAGTCAACTTTCTTAATAGCTTGTTGGAGAATTGCTTTTGCGGGTTGACCCGCGACCCAAACGCACCCATCCGTCACTCACCCAACCCAACCCGCAAAACTATGTGAATGGATTGCGGGTCACAATTATTCCAACTCACTAGTAAGCGGGTGGGTCAATTTGAAACCAAAACCCACCCAAGCCACCCACCTCTAACAACAACATGTATGAAGTCTGGGGCTTTAAAGCCCAACCAGGAAATCACAACGAATTTCTAGCTAATGGGCCCATTACACATCATATTCCGAGCGAGTGGGCCCAGTCCCTGAATTGAGCGTCACTTGCAAAAGCAGAGTAAACCGGGATCAGTTCAAGATCTGAAAAATTTAAAACGATCCGAGTGCTGACCTTGATCACAGGAAGAGCACCGCTGAGCTCTGACGACTGACAATTGTTGGACGAAGACGGAAAGATAGATCTTCGATAATCCCGCAACCTCTCCGATCCCTTCTCGCTCCAATGGTGCGAAAGCGTTACCAAGAAGCTAAGACAGGTAAATATAACGTTATACGGCTGCTGAACTTTATTTCTCCTTCCAGAACAACAAGCTTAGTTGCCGTCCAAGTGTTCGACGAAATGCCTGACCGGTTATCCCTTTTGTTTATGTGTTTTTGCTTATACAAATAAACCTGCATAATGATCAGGCATCGAGTATCTGAAATCGCTGAACTACAACAAGTACCTGAGCAAAGTGGGGATAGGAAGAGACGACTGGTACTTCTGGAAGCAAATAGGCAAGGCCCTGGCCTGCACCTACACCATCTTCGGCCTGGCGTGGCTCTACAACGAGACCTCTCCGCTCGGGTGGTGGACGCTGAAGCCAAGACCCAAGGAGGAAAGGGAGCTGGCTCATCTATACGAGCGCCGGGAGTTCCCTTACCCGGGAGACACTGAAGCCATGGAAGAGTTCGTCGCAAAGGGCGGAATGATCGGCACCACCATCGGCCCCAAGGGCGTGGTCGAGACGGACAAGGACTCGTACAATTACCAGAAGGATCTGCAGAACAAGAAGTTCGACCAGGAGGCCCAGAAGCTGTGGATCAGGATGAGGAATGAAGTCATCCAGGAGCTCCAAGAGAAAGGGTTCGATGTTGAGTGAACACTGTCACAATACCATCATCAAATACATCTTTCCATTTCCCTTAGAAGACCTAATACCTCTGTTATTGTGTGTCATGAATGCTGCTGACTACAATGTTGATTTTGCGCGCCATGTTCTTCTCCCTCTCTCTGTCAAAGATTGTTGTATAATCAATTTGGGTGGAATCCAAAGCGTCACTTGTGAGTGTTGTTGGAGCTGCCAATGCCATGGATGGATGGCTCACTAGTACATTGTTGACTTTTGCGGCTACAGAGATCAGCTAGAGAGTGAATCTGTAACCAGCCAGGCGCCAGCCACATGCCCTTCTGAAAGGGTAGCCTGCTATTGCAATTTGCAGGGCCTTGGGTCCTAGCCTGTGATTGTGAAGTCAGTCAGCCAGAGGATTTGGAGAATCCTATGCCAAAAACTCCCAAACAAGGTCATCCCAAATTCCAGTTTTGTCCACATCTTCAGAGTTGGATGCAAATAATAATGGCGAGACACAAACACAGAGACAACAGCGTGCGTTTTCCCAGATGAGACTTCACACGTGAGTTATGGCGGGATGCGTGCGTTTTCTTTTCTTTCTATCTAGGGCTCAGTTAGTAGATGCGGATTTTACCGCGTTTTTATTTTTGTCAACAAATAGAAAAGAAAACCCCAGTTGCAGTGGAGGTCAAAATGCCTCCATCCTGCACAATTGCAGTTCTCTCAATTTGGCGGGAGGGAAAGAAAATTATACGAGACATTGATTTGTAACGTGTCATTTGAGCCGTCTCTAGATATCATAAATACGCAAGACTTGTTTCGAAATGCTCTCATCCAAACGACCTGTAAGGTTAAGGTAGAATTCTCCAGATCCGTAATCCATGTTCACATGAGATTTGGATCTGCACTGAAACCTCTACTTGGTCCGCAAAAGAAAGGCAAAAGAAGGGGACGAAAAACAGATTCAGTTTACTGTCATTGTCAAATACGAAGGACAATACATATTATAATCTTGCAGGCAGACATGATGTCTTGTCTTCTACTGATACTGAGGCAACCCATAAGTTATAACTTGCCTCTGTGATTTTTCCACAGGCAAAAGCAATACATCGTTATCAAGGAACCATCCAATGGCAGGCAGGAAGCAGGAAGGACAACCGAGAGGGTAAAACTAAAACCTACACTTAAATGAAGAATTCTCTGTGGGAACTGTTCATTTTACCTGCTAACAGTAACACTACCAAGTAGCTGCTTCATCCCAGTAGTCGATTCCTTGCTGAAATACCCCAACACCACACTGACAAGAACTACTACACGGTTATGAAAACAAGGGGCAAGAAAACCCCAGAAAGAAGTGAAAAACATGTTTGGCATTCATTCAGTCATCTGAGCCCAGTTAGCGAGCAAAGTAACAAACTTTGGATTTGCTTTCTTCACGTATAAAAACAAAGACTACCAATAATACTAGATCGAGTTGAGCAACAAACAGCTTCGTTTTCACCTTTTTACAATACATTCCTGGCCATGGACAAGGGGTTCTTCAACCTACTCTTCCCTGATTTGCTCCGACTAATGTCATTTCGCAGCGGTGTCAAGTAGAATCTCATTAGCCCGTTATCCACATTACTGTTTGGGCTCGGAGAATACCTAGCACTCTTGTTCCTGGACAGCATCAGCTGGTCTCGCCTCTGCATTGCGCCCATGCTGCTACCGTCACACGAATTCCTCGCACTAACCATACAGCTTCGCGCGGTAAGCTTCTGCTTGTTCGCCATCTTCTCCAGTGGCCCTGCAACTATCATACCATCGACCACTAATTTCCCACTACCATTGCTGCTGCTGCTTTCTACATCTGCAGGCTTGCTGCTTTTGTGATTCCCGCCGAACATACTCAACACGTTTCGCCATTTAGGCAACTTCTTGAACTTTGAGCCCTTCTTGTTATCTCCACCACCACCACCGCCAGGCTGAACAACATCTTTGGGGGTAGAACCAGGGTTGCCTACTACATTGCAATCTCTAACAGAGTACCAATTCGAATCCCTCAATTCTTTCTCAGTCACCAGTAATTTAGCTCCGTGATGGAACAGATCAACGGTTTCAGGGGATACCTTTGCATTGGATATGGATTTCAACTCATCGTCTCCTAATTCCAAACCTGTCATCTTGACCGACCCGGACCGGTCGAAGCTCCTTCTCCGGCGATGAGGATCGGAGTAATAGCTCACCGTCTGAGCAGTTCCTCCGGGGCTGATGCTTCCATCTTCCTTCTTCAAATCCCCACTCGGCTCCGTCGGATTTTCGACACTGGTTTTATCATCAACACCCAACTTCACATCGTCTTCTACGACGGAGACCAATGGTGTAAACCCTGGATATGCTCTGCCAATCAAGTACCCGTCCCAGGAAGCTCGAGGTTCGTCGAACGACCGGCGAGATTCTTCAATCGACAATCTCCCTGGGTCGAGTGAGTGTCTGGGATCGGCATCGCAAGATCTCCTCCGGCCGGCGTATTCCCCAACTTCCGTCAGCGTGTCCTTTAATTTCTTCAGTATGCCCTTGTCATTATCCGGCGCCGGGCCATCCTCACTGGTGGGCTTCTTTTCATCCTTCTTCTTCCTCTGCTTCAGCTGCCATTTCCCCAATTTCTTGCTGAAAACCGAAGCCGCTTCCCAGAAGCTCTTCCCGGCGTTACTACCCTTCTTCTTGTCCCACTCGAGATCTATGAACTCCTTCATCGTCTTCAGCTCCCCGTCTTCCTCCTCGAAGTCGTACTCCACATCCGGCGGCACGATCTCATCCCCGCCGAAAACCCTAATTTCCCCGTCCCCATCCTCATCTCCTCCTCGTAGCATCTCGAGCTCGGAGACGACGGCCTTGGCCTTCGCTTTGGCCTTGGCGTACGATTCGATGGTTGGACCGTCGTCGTCGTGGTGGAAGAGCTCAGAGAGGCTGTTCCGGGGCCGGACCTCGCATGAGCGGCGGCGGGGCTCGGAGATTGTGGTGTTGGTGGTGGCGGAGGTGGAAGTGGTGGAGGAGGAGGCATTGGGGTTGGAGCTGCTGGAGAAGGATTTGGAGCGGCGGAGCTCGAGGGCGAGGTGGGTAATGGGGGTTTCCTGGTGGGTGTCGGGGTCGATCCCGGCGAGGCGCTCGCGGAGGCAGGCGGCGCAGAACCCGGTGACGGCCTTGGTGGGGTGGCGGTGGCAGGTGAAGTGACGGCGGCGCTGCAGCGGAGCAGGACTCATGGCTGCAGGGCGAAGGGAATGAAGCAGACGGCAAAGATCATTTGCCTAGGAAAACAGACAGAGAGAGAGTCGGGAGTGGGAGTGGGAGTGGGAGTTTGAGCTGAGTCGCAGATCTGAGAGAAAGAGAAAGATGGAGAGAGAATAGGAGACCTACAGAGGAAGATGAATGATGCCGGTGGAGAGAAGTAGCTGCTTCGTACTATAGTCTATACTCTATACTACTGAGGCGCAGTTAGTGGTCACGCATTATGGTGGAGAAGAGAAAAGAAAAGAGAAACGAAAACCCCTCATAAACCGTCTTTTTTTCAACCTAAAACCTCTGTTTTCATAACCGTACCGGAGGTTGAACCGGAAAAGTTAGTGGTTTAGGGTTTACCGGTTAACCGTTATAAAATTGTTGGTGAATCGTTGATAGAACCGTTAATGATATATAATATATAAGACTTGTATATTAATTATCATTGACCATAAATAAGTTCAAATTCATATCGTTACGAAAATATCTAATAAATCATTCCAACCATATCACAAAAGAAACCACATTTTTTAATTCAAATTAAAAATTACGGTTCTAGTTGGTAGTAGACAATGTAAAATCGACAATAAAGTTGAGGAAGCATATTAAAATTAATAATTATGATTTGATGGTCTTAGTTTATGTTAAAAAATATTTTTTTTGTTAAAATAATGAACCAGTGGACCAGTTAAACTGTGCCGGTTCATCTGATTTTATGTTGAACCGTGAAAAACCGTTTGGTCCATCAATAACCGTTCAAACAATGAACCGAACCGCTATCGTAACTAGTTTGACGGTTCTACTGGCCCGACCGTTGATCCTGTTCGGTTCTTACAACAATGCCTAAAACCCTATCACTATTCACTACTAAGCCAAATCTAACTGTAGGGAGGGAGAGATTTATGATTCGGAAGAGCATTTATCTCCATACAATTGTAAAATTAATTATGTGTATTGTTTCTACAGCCATTTTAATAAGTTATGCATTTTGATTCATATTAATTTTATTATACCTCCATTAATTTAATTCATGTGCAATTATATATATATATATATATATATATGCTAAAATTGTAACAAAAAATAGATAATTATATTGAAAAAGTCCATCATTCCCCTTTTTAGGCTTTTTTGCTTTCATATTCAATTCCATTTGCTGCAACTTGCAACATTCCAAAAAATCATTTCGTACCGTCTTGCCATATAAAATGAAATACAAATGTGGATGTTTCAAAAAATCATCCAAATTTAACTTATAAAACACGTTTTGGAACAGTGTATAGATGGTTGATCTCTATCATATTAACATATAAAATGAAATATCAAAGTGGATGTTTAAAAAAAATTCAAATTTAACTTACAAAATAAGTTTTAGAGCAGTGAATAATTGGCTGGCCTCTAAAAAATTCATCATGATGCATCAAAAACAAAATGGTACATGATAGATCCAAAACAATAATATTTTAATCATAAAGATGGGATTGCAAACACCATCTACTTAACTCTGCTTCATTATTGTTTCCCCTAAAGAAGTGTTCACCTATTAATTGGCTAATTAATAATTCTCGTCGGTAATTAAGAAAGATGAAAAGTGTTCCACCAACCGCTAACCAATTAAATTCACCACAACAGCCTCGTTAGAAGGAAACCGGTTTATATTCCTAGCTACACAAGGGAGACTAGAGACAGAAAATACTCATGCAAACTCTCCATGTTGGTTTTTTCTTCAAGCAACATTTTCCAACAGCAAATATACTCATGAATGTATCCGTTTTAGAAAATGACTCGTGAATGTTTGAATGATTCTTCAGTTGTAGCAAATATAACGATTGTTTCCAAATCTTGTTCCATGCACATTCAGATATCCCTCTAAAGGTAATTATCGTAACAAATTTGCGACTAAATTTACAAGGATTAATTTTTAATTCTAGACCACATCATTGTGATTACTGAAAAAATACTATCATTCTACTACGATTATAGTTATAATATAACCCTTTACTATATCATTTTTTCAAACATGTCTCTCTACTATTTTTACATCAAACATGCCTTGTATTTTTACATCAAAAGACCGTCAACCACGGTCGAACCTTGGTTTGGGCGTCACAAATGTCTAAACGATCTCTAATAATTTCATTTTAAAGTATTTTTAGTTCTTTTGTACAACAAAATACCTCTAATAATTTCAATTTAACGAGACCTGTAGAAATAAATCAGGGAACAAAACTGACATTTTCCTCCCATTTACTAATGTCGGGTCGTCTAAATCTAGGTTCAACCATGGTTGATGATTTTTTTCAAAGAAAACTTTAACAAAATGCATATTTGATAATTTTTCTAAAATACAAGAGATATAAAAATAGTAAAGAGGGATATTTGATAAAACTGCATAATAGAATACGCATACTATACCTATAAAGCTCGACAAATTGGTGGCTTCGCGCGTGCGATCTAGCCTAGCGACGCCCGCCATAGGAGAACACATCGGACAAATATTGTCCCCTACCTTCAGCATCCGACACGCCAGCTAGAAAAAGTCAACGTTAGCGTCCTCGTCAAGGCGGCCAAGGATCCAGGCGCCTCAATGGAACTAATTATCTCCCATGCTATCGTGATTGAGCGCCCAAACCACCTCACGTCTGCGAGGCCCTTGCTCAACATGGCCAACCTTACTGTGCAGGTAAATTGGATGTCTTGGTGTGTTCATCCTTGGCTCGTTTGTTCGATCATGTACCTGGCACTATATTGTCCTTGTTTAATGCGCTTCAGATGATTATGTTGGTCGAGTCCACTACGCGGGAGTTTGACCAATTGTCGAAATAGAACGTCAAAGCTACCTCTGATCATGTGCGCCTTCGTGTTGACCTCACTTCTGCGCAAAAGAAGCAACAAGCGTTGATCAGCGTCGTGACAAGGCGCAGGCCGAGGCCGAGGCATGGGCCGCTAGACTTAATAATGATCTTGAGGCGGAGCGTGAGAAGGTTAAGGCCAAAGTCGTACGAGAGTGTCAGGTGCCGCCAAGAAGGTGGAGTTTGAGAAGGTTGAGCGGGAACTTCGCGAGAGACAAGTGGAGTTGGTTCGTGGACGAGATCTCTTACAACAAGAGAAAGACTCACTGCATGACAAGGCGTGCAAGATCTCTAAAGAGAACAATAGGTTGAAGAAGTCCAAGGACCAATAAAAGAAGGAGTTGAAGATGTCTCATGCTGCCGAGGAGCGTCTCACGAAGGATCTGGCTAACTTCCACAAGTCGAAGGTGGGAAAAAACCTTCAGGTTGACGTCGTGATTGATACGGTGAAGATTCTGCAGCTCAAATTTAGCGAGGATCAGTTGGAAGTGGAGTGGAATTCTCTAGCTCTGATCGATTATATTCTAAACTTCATGGATAGTGATCGCACTGTGAGTGACTTAGAGCCGATTGTTGGGCTGGAAGTGTTGCCGCCAGTGGAAGATGAGGCGGAGGATGAGGCGCTCGATGAAGACCCACATGGGATGCCTGAAGGCCAGGTCCAAACTGAAGAGGAGGAAGACAACCAGTAACTCGACGTCGTTATCTTTAGACGTAATGTAGACGTCTTTAACTCGATTCAAAGTGGGGCGCTTGTTTCCCTCCTACCTTGTGCGCCTCGAATTTATTGCTTTTTATGTTGTGTGACGTGCTTCCGACTTGTTTTCGGGCACGTATCCTGTCTCCTTGTACTTTAATCATTTTACAGCATGTTGCTCCCCCACTATTTTCACAACTTGCATGGGCAAAAATTACCATTGTTTTACCTTTTGTACATGCACCTCTTCACCTCGTAGAGGGCGCATGAGGCGTGAGCTTACTACCATTGTCATGCTTCTTGTACTACGGGTGCAATAGTAAGGGGCGCTTTATTAGACTGGGCGCCGGGCGCAAAGTTTTCAAGGCGGTTTACAGAATCAGTAAGTGGGCACTAGGTTAAGGGCGCATTACAATTACCATTTAGACATGTGCCTCACAAGAAGAGCACGAGGCATTTTCATCTCCAAACTTTCATGCAAAATGACTTCCTTTCTCAACACGGAGGATAAGGGTGCTAGGATAAGGATACTTTACAATTACCAACCGAATAAAGTAGCGAGCGCAAGGATGAGGGCACTTTACGATTACTAACTAAATAAAGTAGCGGGCGCAAGGCGCCACACAAACTAATACCTCCACATATGTTCTTGGAACAAAACTTAAAGAAATAAATTTGGGCGCTGCTCTCTCTGAGCACCGGCCAAAGTGGATGTGCCTGATCCTGCTGCCTAATATTACCTTGCTCCGAAGTTTTCATTGCCATGTTGCCATGGTACACCTTGAGGTTCTAAGCATTCCAAGTGCGCTTTTCAGCCTTGCCTCTCATACGCTCTAATTTGAAAGTGGCCGGTCCAACCACCTCCCTTACACGGTAAGGTCCCTTCCACTCAGGTGCGAGCTTCCCTTCACTTGACTTCGGACGAAAGTCTCATCGCAATACCATGCTTCCTTGTCGTATCTAGTGGAAATGCATCTTACGATTGTCATAACTGGCCACTTGCCTCTTCATGGATTCGAGGCGCATGTCAGCGATGTCCCTACGATCATCCAGCATGTCGAGATCATGCGCGCGCTCACCTTCGTTGGACTATGCCTCATAGTTCACCATCCTGAAGGTGGATATGTTCATTTCAATCGGGATAACCGCTTCGCTGCCATAGTTGAATGCAAATGACGTCTCCCTTGTCTCCACCTTGTATGTCGTTCGATGCGCCTACAACACTCCATGGAGTTCTTCCACCCACATCCCCTTGGCGCCTAGCAGGCTCGTTTGAAGGTCGTGCAAGATGATTTTTTTTGCTGCCTTTGTCTGCCCATTTGCTTGAGGATATGCCACGGACAAGAAGCGTAGAATGACTTCCTTCTAGTAACAAAACTCTATGAACTTCTTGTGGTCAAACTTTTTGCGTGGTCAGCTACGATCGATTCTGGTA